ATATAAATTTAAGAGACAGTTTCTGCTCATCTGTATTTTGATAGACACTTAAATTGGTGATTCTTTTTGCTTCTTCTAATTGTGGTTACTATGAAACCAGCAGCACTGACCAGGATTTGTTAGATTGAGGGTTCATATATTATTGTAAATACTAACCATTCAAATTTTTCGGTAAGTACACTCCTATAAGTTATTCATATAAAAAAGCAGATCATGCATTAAGATGTGCAGGCATTGACGTTGTTTAAAGAGCCTGTAAATTTAGATACGTTCCATTTAAACAACTAAATGACCATTTAAATAACTGATTCTTATATGTTATCAAATTAACGCCGTAGTAAGATCTTTGAATATTGTTTATATTGGTACCAACACTGATTTTGTTTTTGATAAATTAAAACAAAATAACTAAAAGAGGGACGAAAGATACCAGAGGGACAGTCAAACTCACAGATCGAAAATAAACTGACAACGCCATGGCCAAAAATAAAAAGACAAACAGACAACTAATAGTACAAATGACACAACATAGAAAACTAAAGACTAAGCAACACGAAACCCATCAAAACTGGGGGTGATCTCAGGTGCTCCGGAAGGGAAAGCAGATCCTGCTCCACATGTGGGGTAAATATGTTTTGCTATACCGTTATGACAACTTATGTTATTACATCCTGACTGTACTTTGTACTAATATGTTGGCATTGCACATGGTCATGCTTTTTTCTCACACTGTTTATGACGTCTATACACTAAATCCGTTGGATGTGTACTGATTGCTACTTTAGTCTGGTACAACATAATTTATTAATTAATTATTATTTGCTTTGAACTAGCTTTCAGTACATATGTAACTATGAGTACTCTTAAATCGGTTCGTTTTGACTTTTGTCTTTATCTTTCTTTCCTTTTTGGATCGTGCAGATCTGATGAGTCAAGTCGTTTCCAACCGATTTTTACAGTTTTTTCTCATGTTATACGGTTCCACCATTGTCAGGATAGGGTTGAGAGCTCACAAACATGTTTAACCCTGAAGCAGTCATATCGTTGTTGTGCATGTCCCAAGTCAGGAGCCTGTAATTTAGTAGTTCTCGTTAGTTGCTGCATGTCATATTTGTTTTTCGTTTTTTTCTTTGGTCATAAATCAGGTCGTTAGTTTTTCGCTTGAATTATTTCACATTATGCAATGTTGGGGACCTTTTATAGCTGACTATACGGTATGGGTTTTGCTCATTGTTGAAGGTCTTACGGTAACCTATAGTTGCTTCATACACGTCATTAGGAATCGGGTTAATAGTTGTCTGATTTTGTAATCATACCACAACTTGTTATCATATTGAATTGTAAGATGAAAAAAAATCTTTGGATTGTTTTGAAAAAATTAATATGGTTTTGTCATTTTACATAACTGTATTTGAATTGTTAATTGACCGACATATATTAAGCCAGGGATTTCGTTATCACAAATAACTTAAAACCTTTACTAAATTCTTCCATAGATACAAAGATTTGGTTTGCAAGTTTGGCTGTACCTGTAGAAAACTTATTTCAACCGGAATAGTCCGGAAATTTAGATACGATCCGGGTAAACTGATCAATCCTTTAAATAAACTTATTCTAAAAGGTTACCTATTCAACACTGTAATTAAATCATTGAATATTGTTTTTATATGTAAAGATTTTGATTTTGTTATCAGTAAATTAAAACCCCACTTAATATTATAAACATGTACTTTCACGGTATTACAATCTGTCGATACCTATATTTTGGCATTGCACAAGGTCATGTTTTTCTCTGACTGTTAATGACGTCTTTACACTAAATCCATTGGATATTGGATGTGTACTGAATGATATTTTAGTCTTAGATACATGATTTTTTTTATAAGTTCTTATTGGCGTTGAACTAGCTGTCAGTAACTGCGAGTACTCTCAGATCTGTATTTGAATCTTTTTTGTTGTTAGGGGTGAGGGATGGATATATACCCTGCCACGCCCTGTCTGTGTTTTTGTTTGATGTTTTTCTTTGCATCGATCTGATGAGTTAATCCTTTTTAACTGATTTTTATAGTTAGTTCATATGTTGTGCTGTTTTACCACTGTCCCAGGTTAGGGGAGGGTTGAGCGCCCACAAACATGTTTAACCCCGCCACATTCTTTATGTGCCTGTCCCAAGTCAGGAGCCTGTAGTTCAGTGGTTGTCGTTGGTTCATGTCTGTCATATTCGTTTTTCGTAAATTGTTTTGTTATAAATTAGGCCGCTAATTTTCTCAATTGAATTGTTTCATATTTTTCATACCCCTATACGGTATGGGTTTTTTCTCGTTGTTGAAGCCGTATAATTGCCTATAATTGCTTTAATACCACAAAAAGTCATCTCCTTATTTTCATATAGATCGGAAAATAAAACAGATAATTTAGAAAATTTCAGATTATTTCAAAATGCCCATTTGTGTGCTTAGTGATCATAAACGATTCACTCTGGTATTTCATCGATAACCGCTGCATACATGAGAATATGATGAATTCGACTGTTAAAACTTCTAGCAGATTTTATCAGTTGCTACCCAAACGACTCAATGATTAAAAACATTATAAAAAAAATGAAAGATTAAAAATAAACAAAAATACACACTAATATCATAGGCCATCAGCATGACCTGTTTCCCACGGCCAATCATTCCTTATTTTCATACTGTGTACAAAATATATTACGAACTGTTGGACCAAAAATAAGATATTCAAATAGATGAATATATAACTGTATAGCCCAAATAAGTTTGAAAGTGGTATAAACGAGTACGACTATCTCACGAATAAAAAAAAAAGAGAAAATGATAAGAAGAATATGCCTATAACAAAGGTACACAATATACTCAGTGAAAGAAAAAAGAAGGATATGCAACACCCTTGTTTTATTAATTTATATATATATATATTTTAGACAAACATGTATTAAAAAGGTCAACCTTTGATATCCTTTATCTGTTATTAAATAAAATTGAGAATGGAAATAAAGAACGTATGTTAATCTCTATAGATGTACTTTGTTTAAACTTGTATTTTTCGCTGAGCTTCGCAGAGTATAGCCAAAGACATTTCACAATCACCTGCATGGTTTTTATACTTGGAACAGAATACCTTACTATGACGCTGTCCTGAGACGACAACATCGACGTGCACAGGTAAGATGGTGCAACACAGTACCTCAGAGAAAACTTTAATTATGTGATGAGTTTAGATGAGTACATACACAGCGAATTGGCCAAAATCTTGGAATGTTTTAGATATTGACGTATACGCACCTTTACGTAAACATTTCTTTGGTAATTTATATAAATGTTCACGAAAAGAGACATTATGACTATCACCATGCTAAACTTCAAATCTTTAATAAAATTGAGAATGAAACAGGGAATGTGTCAAAGGGACAACAACCCGACCAAGAGTAGAAAACAGCCCAAGGCCACCAATGGGTCTTCAACACAGCGAGAAAATACCGCGGACTTCAGCTGGCCCCTAAACAATAATGTATACTAGTTCAGCGAAAATGGACATCACATTAAAATCCGAAACATATAAATGAACCAAAATAAAAAAAAAACTTATAAGACTAACAAAAGCCAGAGGTTCCTGACTTGGGATAGGCGCAAACACTTTAAGCATATGTAAGAAGCTTTTAATGTCCAATTTATACATTTATAAATGTATATCACAAATTCTAATAATTTGTTTCTCATGAATTATAAAATGCTACATCTATCATGTATTTTCCAACACAGATGTAGTTCAAAGAGTTCTCGATGCATACACAATTTGATGAAAAAAAAATTTGACGCTAAGGGTTGACTGGGGTTTAAATATTGTAATCTCTGGACAATCCCGTCCGGAAATAAAACACATGTCAAAGAGGAGCGTCGATTTGGCTTTAATGGATGTATAAATACGCATCCACGTCCTGTCAGAATGGGGACATTAAATCCGATAAATCGGATATAGTGATTTAGTGGAATGTTCTATGAACCTTTACAACCCACGCAATAACAAGGAGTCCGTAGGTGGCCTGTATCAAGGAATTAGTTCTCCCTGTATCCAACATACTTTTCCTTTCCACTGAATAGAACATACCTATTGAATTCAATGTAAACTCTTTCGCTTCATGGATATGCATGAAATATTTGTCGTTGCTTTATCAATTTATTTCACACATGCTGTTTAACTTGATTTATCTGTGGAAGTATAAATGTTACATATTTTTCCATTCTGACAGTAAACCCCAAACTAAAGCATTCTGCACGTTTAAGTAGCCTTGCAAAAACTCTTAGAGGGATTCGTATGTGGTCTAGTGCAAGACGAATTTTGTGACCCATTCCAACATGCCTTTTAATGTGGTCTAACTTCTCCATCTTTCCTCCCAGTCAACTCATTTGTGTAGACTCTGGACGATTTCAAGCATGAAGACGCTTACCCTGATTTGTACACCCGGTCATACTCCTGGTGAAGTTCTTGGGATTCCATCAGTTTTTGTTTTTAACCTTGATTTGTATCTTTTTAGTCGACTTATGAGATTTGAATAACGGTAAACTACTGTTGTCTAAATTTAACCACTTTGCAGGTCCTAGCTATTTAATTTATTGTTAATTAACTTATTCTCCTCCTGAAATTGCATGAAATATTTAATAACGGATGTTCAGCTTAACAATAAATAAATAAATCAGTCTCATTGACTCACTTCTCACTCAATCAATCATAAGAATCCGAAAACCGGATAAGATATTCAAAGACACCAGTTACGGAAAATGTCACTGACCAGACTCTAGATTAATTGAGTCGCAGCCCGTGAATTTGAATAGGTTATTTAATACATATAAATCATGAATATGTTTAGTTCACTTTCCAAAAATATGCACAGATTTTCTTTTCAGTTGGTTTATAGCCTGTATCAGTAATACAAAGAAAGTTGTGTGTTTTCATTTACCTGGACTGAATACAAAGAACGACAACCATGTTATGTTTTCAACATATACACATACTTATTGATGGGACTATACATAATAATCATTGATTAATGTGTAGCTCGGATTCATATTGACTAATACTTGTTGAACAATATTTTGCGTTATTTTATCAGTTACAAACTTTGAAAGTTCCAAATGGCAAACTTTGAACAACCTACATCACCTCGTCACTTAAGTTTGTTGAAATCACTTGGTCTTGTTGTTGGGTGTTTGGCAAAATTTGTAACAGGATCATTATTTGTGTTTAATGTTTATGCCGAAGATCTGAAAACAACTTTCAACTTCACCCAAAAAGAAGGTATGTATTCATCAATATTTATGTTTTCTGCATCTAGAGATATCTCTATACTGAGAGAGAGATTGTTTATCGTCCAGTGACACATATTACATGCATATCAGGACGATATCAGATGTTGGTGGTTATTGATTATAAACCTGGTTTGTACTAGACCAACACTCTCAGTCTAAGCGGAGCAACAAGAAATACTCTTCTCGGTATTAATGAACGAATATTATACAATAGAAAATAGAGGTAAAATTATAATGTGCTTTGTTTCAATCCAGAAGAAGATGCTTTATTTCCATCAAATGGGCTCACAAGGAGCATAATATAATATCATTATAATATTATTTTTACAAATATAATAAACAATACAGTATACATAGTTACAAACACAAATAAGAAGCAACAGTTTTCACATATTTGTATATATATAGGAGTATATATAAAACCTTCGTCTCAGGCACACCTCTAGAAAGTAACAAAAAAGAATTCTGTGAGTAGGCTAAATATATCTAGCTTAACTGCAGGAGGCACCAAGGGACGGTGCTATATGGCATGGTGGGTGCATATTAAAATGTGTATCGGGACATTAACATGATTAATGATATGGTAAGATATTGTAAGAAGTTGCACATAACTGGTATGTCATCCTCGTGCCTGGTGCAGAGGAGTCAGTTCTATGTAAAGTGACACAACTGCAAGTGGCACCAAGGGACAATGCTAATTGATATGCCAAAGTGCACATATTACGAAAAGATAAAATATTACCAGTTTAATAAAAAAAATATCACAAACAGAAAGGTAATAGAACTTATACGATGTGTCCTGTACCCCCACCATGCCAACCTCATGCCTAGTGCAGAAAGCCTGATTAAAATATTTATCTTTCAAGTTATATTTTGTCTTCATCAACTAACTCACAGACAGATATCAAGATATCAAGATTCTCTACATTAAGAAGCCATATCAGTTTTTGGCTAGGAATCAAATGCGTAAAGTTTGGGCATAGTGAGTTAATAGTGGAATTTAAACAATTTCTCTTATCTTGAGATGATGTACACGAAAATAAAAAATGTTTTTCATCATCAACTTCATTTGAGGTGCACCTGAGACATATTCTGTCTTGTCGGGGAGTACCCTGATAGCGACCTTGTTCAATTCTTAGTCTGTGAGAAGAAATACGCAATCGAGCGAAATTTCTCCTCTGCTCAGGTGATTGTAATAAAGTAAGATATCTTTCAAGACCAAAATGAGTCTTAAAAGTGCTATAGCTAAAAAGCTTCCCATCAGCACAATTGTGCATTTGTTTTCTCCACTGTATTTCATAGTGCTGATAAAAAAACTTTTTAATTAAAATTTTGAATCTAAAGTTGCTTGCAAAGGCTAGACTGTCAACCCCATTATTTTTTTTTTGCAAATAGTTTAAAGATCCATACCAAGAGGGAATTTTTTATTCAAATAATAGCTTTGACTCTAAATATGCATCTTTTAGTAATGGAAAGGATGAACCCAAATTTTCAAGCCGGTGCCAGTATCTGATCATAGATTTGGTGATATCAAAATGTAAAGGAAATCTCCCAAGTTCTGAAAGAGTGGCAAAGTTTTTGCTCTTTTCCCCACACCTAGTAATAGTTTACAAAATTTCATATGTTTAGGATAGGCTTGATCAACTGTAGTAGTCTGAAAATTTAATTTTTTTTGAAGGGATTAAAAAAGCCCCAAATTTCCGAACTATACAAAAGAATGGGTTTAATTGTATGATCAATACGTGGAGGCTGTTTTTAATATTTGGATTCAGTGACAAGAAGTCCTTTCGTAGCTTGTAGTATGCTTTCAGTGCCTTATTGTACAATTCCTTCTGAGCAAAGGAAAAAGATCCTGATGCACTAAATGTTATACCTAAATATTTACAATGTTGAACACAATCTATCAACATGTCATTAAAATAAAAATTATGTTTTATATGCCTGCCTGCCTTGTTAAATACCATCACCTTAGTTTTTTTTAGATTAATTTTCATACACCAATCTTTACAATAATTATTTAATTGATCAAGTTTACACCGAAGCCCCTTTTCCGAGGAAGAAAAAATGACAATATCGTCAGCATATAATAAACAATGAACTGGCTTTGAGTTAACCAAGACTGGATCAGTTGACTTTTCAAGATAATCAGGGATGTCATTTATGAAAATTTTAAACAAATTTGGACTCAAATTATCTCCCTGTTTCACTCCCACCTTAGTTGGAAAAAGGTCTGTAACTCTATTCTGTAATCGAATACACGATTTACTCTGAGCATACATACTCTTAATTATATTATAAAAATTTGTACCCAGCCCGATGTTTAATAACTTGACTTTTATACCTGGGTGAATGACGGTGTCAAAGGCCTTCTGGAAATCAACAAAACAGGCAAACACTCTACCTTCTTTAGTATGACAGTACTTATCAATAATGGTCTTAAGTATGAACATATGGTCAGATGGTCGTGCTTTTTTTGTGAAACCAATTTGGCTATCTTTAATGATCTGATATTTATCTAAAAATTTGCAAAGACGGGTGTCAAGAATTTTATTAAAAAGCTTCCCCAAAGCATCATTAATAGTTATTCCTCTATAATTATTAGGATCAGATGCATCATTCCCTTTATGAATTGGGAATATGTAACCAGTAGTCCAGGGTTCTGGGTATTTTCCATAAGAGAGGCAATTATTAAAATTTTTTTAGTAAACACGGTAACAAAGAGGTTTGACCATATTTTAGCATACTGTTAGAGATGTTATCCAACCCTGCTACTTTATTAACCTTTAAAGATCACAAAGCAGTAGATATTTCGGTTTCAGAGATCCTACTATCAAGTTCATTAAATTTTTTCAAGAATGTTTAGATTTTCCTCTAAAAATTGCAGTCGCTCTTTAAACTCATCTTTTGGTTCGGTAAAATTTTTAAAATGATTCAACCAATCAAATGGTGCAACCAATGCACTCTTATCATCCCTTTTCTTGCCCTGCAGTTCATCAATCAATTGCCAGTACTGCTTAGGGTTTTCCTCATGCAGTGTTTCTATTTGCTTCAACAATGACTGCTTGTACTCCCTGTATTTGTGTTTCCGTGCCTTAGTATATACGCGCTGTAGTTTATAATAGTGACCTTTAACAGCAGGATCTCTGGGAAATCGAGAATAAATTTTTCCATAACTAAATAGGTTTTTTCGCAAATATGCAAGATTACAGTCAAACCACTTTTGGTGTTTAACCCCCTTACCCGTTTGGGCTTACGCCTTTTAAGAGATATATTAGCAGCAGTTACAATAATGTCTGTCAATTCTAGAGATGCGTTATCAATTGCATGTTGGGAATCTATGGGCTCTAGTTTAAGGAATTTGTCAAGTCGCTGCTGAATTTCTGCAGTAAAAAGGGCATCTTGAAAAAGAGCTGGTGAGTCATCTGACCATATGAAACCTGGTAATATTTCATGAGTTTTAACACTATCACAATCAGTTTTTAAACAATATTTAGCAGACAATGACCATTCCAACAAACAATGGCAGTCTGATAGTGTTGGTATAAAATTACATATCCTCATGTACAGAATTTGATTCAGGATACTCTCCGACACTAAAACATAATCAACTGTACTAGCCCCATTAGGTGTATAACATGTTAGCCCACCAAAGGTGTCACCAAGAACTCGACCATTTAGAATCGTTATTTGGTTACTAATACACAAGTCAAGCAGGTCCCTGCCCCTTGAGTCAAGTTTATCATCTTTGCTCCTTCTTTCAAGAATTTGTTTATCGCTGAAATAGGACTGATATAATGGAGAAAGATTATTACTGTCATCTATGATAAAATCTGTAACAGAAGCCACTCTGGCATTAAAGTCCCCACACAATAATATATTACCCTGTTTTTGGTAGGAAGCAATATCCTTTTCTAAACATGTAAGAATATCATGGTTAAGTCCTTTAGAGTATGATGGGTTATACACAACACATATAAAAAGATCTTTGTCAAATCCAAAGAATTTTTTTCTAATTTCACCCACTAAAAATCTGGGATAGATGATTTTAGAATTTTCACATGTTGCTTTAGTGAGGGCTTGCGTAGTATTGCAAGTCCTCCAAAATGCCTGTTGTTATATTTAGTTACAGGTCTACAAATTAGATGACAGTGGAACGACCCTATATTAGATACAACAGAATCATACCCCAAGTTGGTTTCAGCGAGGAACACTGTATCTAGATTTTCTATATGTTTAAAAAAAAAAGGGGGTCTTGAATCTTGTTGTTTTGTCTTTTTTTTAGACCACCCACGTTCCAGAAGCCCATTTTAATGGAAGATAAATCATCACAAGTCATTTTATAAAATAAAAGAGTGTCTCTAATTCTATCTTATAAATTTGTGAATAGTATATGATTGAACAACTTGTATTAATGATTTTAGATATTAATAAAAGAAATTAAATATATGAGATACTGGCTATCCTAACTCAATATCTTTATACTACAAAATTTTAGGTTTTAGCTACATGTGATTGTGATATGAGAGTAACAATACTGTAAATATTTTCACAACTGATAGAACAATGTTTCATCATAAACACACAGATATTTATGCATATAATATATAATAAATATATATGAGTTGTAGCTAGCATACTACATACACACACAAATGTATCCATAGCTAATTGTTACATAGTTGCAGCAAGGTAAGATGTAAGATAACGACAAAACAAAACAAATACAAAATTAAATAGTGGAAAAAAACAAAAACACAAAAAAAAACACAAAAAAAAACACAAAAAAAAAAACATTACCCTGATATATAATTCAATATTTAGAATGTGAGCTTGCCGTTATGCATGTACATGTAAGTGCCCCTCAAATAAACAAGAGACAAGAGGAAACAATCTCTGATAGTCCCCCTATGAATATTTTTATATTAAATTAATGAGAGAAAAAAAAAGCAAACAAACTAACTGACTGATATTTGAAACACAGCTTATTCCAAGTTTAACGTCTTCTTGTGTCCCTACCATAACCTCTTGGCCCCTTGGATTGAGGCCGCCCTCTTTGCTGGGTAGGAATAGGAATATCAAGGGCAGTGTGTATTGATTTTTTAATATTACTGGCCAAAATAGACACCCCTTTTGTAGATAAGTGGTATTTATCATCAGTTAATAAATCATTGATGGGATTTCCCTGTAACAGCATATTACTAGTACTATGTTCACAATATGTCATACTCGAGACTTTATTACCAATAATTGACTGCTTAACTAAGGCATTTATGATTTGGCCATTTGTAAAAAACCCAATATCATCTTTTCTTGGGGTAGTTAAAGAAATGATAATTTTAGCAAGTGACCATTTATCATGAACTAAAGATATTAATTGATCAAGTTCATCAATACATTGCTGTGGAGTAAGATGTTTCAGGTCATTTGTTAACGAGTGCAGTACAACCAAATATGGTCTTCATGTAAAGTTACAAAAGCTACTGTTTTTTTTAATGTATATTTCACTACCTTTTCCACAGTAGCTGCAGTAGTCAGCTTAGCCTCGTTTATGGCTTTAATGTTTGATGTTCCTAGAAAAAGAACTTTCGGTTTGCTCTGTGTATCATATGTATGTTGCTGTTGATTAGTTGCTGCCTTATTAGTAGCAGATGTCTCCTTGGCCATGTTAGCATCAAGCTGGGCAGCAATATGAAGTTTAAGTTGGATAACTTCATCCTGGGCTGTGTCCAGATTTTTTTTCAGTTTTTGGATATTTTGTGTTAATTGCTTTATTTCGTCATCTTTCACCTTTATTTTTTCGTTGTACTGATTAAATTCATATTGGGAAGTTTCACAAGATTGCTTTAATTGCTTCCTTGTTTCATCAAGTAGTGATTGTAAACTTTTGATGTTTACTTCATTATTTGATCTTTCTATTTGAATGTTACCATCCTGAATTTTTAGTTTGTTCTCTAGATGTAAAAGCCTATCTCGAAGTGTGGATATTGTCTTTTGAAGGGAGGTAACCTCAGATTGGTCTTTAGCTCTAGGGTTAGCTTTTATTATGGTAGTTAAGAGTTTCACACGAAGTGGTGATTGCTGTCATCAATTTGGTATAATCATTAGATTGTTGGCTTGCTGTTTGTATGATAGCCTCAATTATTGTTTTTTTCAATACGAGAAAAGTGGTCCACTAAATTTGTGTTTTCTGACGTGCTACATGTAACGGTAGGTGTATTTGTGCGCTCATGCACATCCTGGTGTATGGTGGATTTGATGGATGTTAGGGAATAATCAAGCTTAGATGAAACTGTGTTGTCGTTAACATCTTTTAAGGTTTGATCTAGGTCAAACTGGTCCTCAACTGTAGCATGTGTAGCATTATCAATCACCTTGGCTAAGATTTGCGTCAGGACAGGAAAGTGAGAATGAACAAAGGTCATGTACTTAGATCCCTGGTACCCTGATTGTCCCGGTTGTAACGAAGAATGTTATGTTAAACTGCAATGCTTGTTCCTTATCCAATATTTCGATGACAATTGAATTATTGTTATTGTTAGGGTCGGACCAAGTTGTCGGTACATCGTACCATTTGAAACTGTTGCGTAAATGATGCGTGGATTGTAATAGAATAAACTTACAACTCCACAGATGGAATTTATTCACTTTTGTCCTGCTATTTGTTGTTTGTACGGATATAAAGAGTTAGGATTTGCCTACTTTATCAGGACGATTTCCTTGCTCCCGCCATCATATAAGGGGAGGTAAATATACTAAATTATATATATGAAATAACACGAAGACAGTCGATGTATACATTTCAAGAATATTAGCAATTTATAGCCACCATTAAATAACTGTAATCACCATTTTATATGAAATTGAACCATTATATTGAATCTTTTTTTATTGATTTCAGTGGAACTACAGTCGTCTTTGCTGAACCTAGGACTTGGAGCAGGGTTTTTGCCAGGTTTATTGTATGATAAATTAGGACCTACTTGGACCTCAGGTGCTGGACTTGTCGTGTCAGTCAGTGCATACTTACTCCTTTGGAGTACAACAAAGTATGCAGAGTTTTATGGAAGGAATAGTTGGTTGATGGCTTTTTATTTTTTCGTGTGTGGTATGTTATCTTTCATCAAGAGTCTTTAGTAAATGAGATGAACTTTTATATCTTCGGGAATGGTGTAGAAAACTTACATGTCGTAAGAACTTGAGGCCCAGCAATTTATACTATTGTTTAAAACATATATTAAAATATTAAAAACACATAAAATAATAAAAATAACAAATTTTACAAAAATGAATTATTAATGTACGACAGTTCTAGTAATGCACGCATTCTAAATACCCTAAAGAACGAAGACTAAAGAAAAACGCCCTTCTAAAAAATCCAGTAACAAAACAAAAAAGAATCAAACATCTAGAGACATGTACAGTCAATCTACATAATTATGTGAACAAACGATGAATTTAGGTCACAGGGAAACAGAGATGGACTGATGTAATCATTCAAGTTTATAATGTTCATGCGTCCGATGCGCTTTTCTGAAATTACGCCCAAAGCCGAATATTTGAAAGTCAAGGATGTATAAGAACCGAATCAGTTGAAGAGCTCAATGACAAATAAGGACATAAAAAATAGCCTAAACCATCTAATTAGGTTTAAGTCAAATGATTTACTTAAGAATTATTTTATATTTTAGATAGAATAAATGACAAACCTTTTGTTATATTTGAAACAGGTGTTGGTTCTGTCTTCACGTATATGGTAGCATTGAATACGAACATGATCAACTTCCACAGTAAACACCGAGGATTAATAGTTGGAGTGCTGAATTCGTTTTTTGCCGGAAGTCCATCTATATTTTCAGTAATTTATTACAAGGGCTTAACTGGACAGAATAGATTTGGCGATTTCATGTTGTTGTTTGCAGTCAGTTTTGCATTTGTCGACATTCTTTGCATTATTTTTCTTCGAATATTTACATCACAAGAAATTACAGAGAATGTTTTAACTATTGCACCTACCAAAGATGAGTCCAAATATTTAAAATCTTCCGAAAAATATGAAGTTTCATACAACTCTACTAAACCTGCCATCAAAACAAATGATTCAACGGGTACAGAAGAACATAATTTTAATCCGAATCTCAAACAGGATGAATCTGAAAACTCATCCGAAAGTGAAGTGGATTTGATTGTAAATGACCACAATAGGGAAGAACTATCAATCAAACAATTACTATGCAATGCAAATTTTCATTTATTTACTTGGATGTTTGTTTTAGCAGCGTCTGTTGGATTAACTTTGGTTAATAACATAACAATAATAGCGAAATCTCTTCATCTGAACCAATATAACGGAAGCTTGGTACTTATTGTTCCCATAACAACAGCAGCTATGAGTATTTCAATTGGCGTTATTTCAGATTTACTCAAAGAAAAAATTCCGCGCATGTCGATATTAGTTTTTGCCTGCGCTTGTTTTGTAGTCAGCCAAGCTGTTATTTTGGTATTTGGAAAACTTTATGTGCTACTTATGTTAGGAACATTTTTGTGTGGTTTAGGCATTTCTGCAATGTGGACTTTGTGTCCCGCAGTTATGAGTGAATTATTCAGTTTAGAAAATATAGGAAGAAATTGGGGGATTGCAATATTATTAGCAGCAGTCGCAGGCTTGATAATTCAGTTGATATTTGGTACTATTTATGATGCATATGTTGTTAAAGGAACATTAGATTGTTACGGTATGAAATGTATAAACGGCGGTATAGGACTCTCTTTAACTGCTGCTGTAATATCCGTTTCATTGGGTGTCGTGTTTATTATAAAAAATCGACGGAGTTCAAATTATGTTAAAATGTAGGCGATGCATTAAATATGCAACTTATTTCTATTTAAGTGTCTTCTCAGCAAATGTTTTAACCATTGATATTACAGCTTCATCATTCAATAAGAACCCAAATATTTCACACGGTATACATTACAAAAATTCATGTTTTTTATTTTTATTTTCTCTATTGTATTTTTCACCTTTTTCATATTTATATATTTATTACAGAGTATGGCAGTATTTATATTTATATATTGTTCAATAAGTGTATTATTTGTGTAATAGGAGTCAGATTTGTAAAAGCAAATTTGCTTCTTTCTGAATCCTAAATATTTATTTCAGTTGTATTATATCGTTATGTGATTATTTATCTTAATAAATATTGTTTATAATAAACTAAGTGTCTTCAAGAGTGACTATCATAGGGTCGTATTTCTTGTTGGTATAACCGCTTCAATGGTTTCGTGTAACCGTATTTGTCTCGGTTGTGGCTGGTTAAATAAACGACTTGAACATTGATATTTACTGCTTCCCTGCCGAGGACCCATCGTTTAACGAATTTGAGCAAAGACTGGTAGGGTCGATGTGAGAATAATTTGACATGTCTTCAAACGACTGTTTTCTTGCACGTTCGAGAGCATGTTAACATTCGGCTTAACGTTTCGGTTTATTAGAAATCAAAATATCATGAACCTGTAATATTTGACGCTGGGCGTTATATGTAGCACCAATCATTCAATCATGATGGTAGAACCACTGTAGCATTTTTTTCAAAAGAGTTCTGTCTTATTTGAATACGTATTTCAAGTAGTTTATGCATCTTTTTTTTTAATATCATATAACCTCCGAGGTCCTGAAAACTCATTTATCTGGTGTACCTTATGACTTTTTAATGCAACAAAATATATAGTTTGTAAGAATATTTTGTTTTGATTTACTTCCCAAAACAGTCTGATTCCCCTCTCCCCCCCCAAAAAAAAAACTAAAAAAAATTTTAAACCCAAGAACAACTCTTTCACAAGGAGATAACCAAGTTTAGGGGTATAGTTTCTGCGACAAATCCGTACTTTTTTGCCAATTTCTTCATAGTAATTGTTATTACTTTTGGAAAGACAGAAAGAGATAATATTTTTTAACTGAAAATAAAATTATTTTTAAAACCAGGATATATTAAGAGGACATATTCATAACTTTTCCGAAACAAACAGATTTAAGTCAATATGTAAATGTGCTGATATATTTGAACAACAAAAATCAAGATCCCGACAAACATCTGTCTCGACCACAATGAGACCTGTGATAACGGAGTAGCGAAAAATAACAATGTTAAAGCAGTCAAAATGAACAATTATATTCCAAATTGTGACTCTCCTGTTTTACCAGCACCTAATTTACAATATTTCCAGAATATGCAAAATATGCAAAATCCAAATTTCAGCCAAACGTCACCAATGGCAGGTCTCTATTCGTGTACCCCACAAGGACTGACACATCCAATAATGCAGTCAACGATGAATCAAGCGTCAGAAACAAACAAAACAAACAAAATCGATAGCCTAGAGCAGAAAGTCGACAAAATGTTCCAAAAATTGAGCGTTCTCGATTCGCTCTCCGATAAAATGAGCAAGTTCCATTCAACACTGAATACACTGGTGTCAAACGTTGACAATGTTACAAAACGAGTCGTTGAAATCGAACAGAGTTTAGAAATTCTAAATACAAAATATGAGACTAGTAAACAAGAACATGATACAGTTAAGAGTGATATCAAAGAAATCAAACAATGCTATACAGATGTAAGTTCAAATATAACACATTTCTGCACGGATCTAGAAGACCTTAAAGAACGTCATATTGATTTACAAACCCGATCTATGCGGGAAAATCTTGTATTTTCTGGAATACCACAAACAAACCCTGACGAAGAAAGTGAGGAAACGGAACAAATACTCATAAACTTTATGAAAACCAGCTTAAAATAGAAAGCCCAGTGGAATTCCAACAAGCTCACCGCTTCGGGAAATCCGACAAAAATATGAGACCAATTGTCTGTAGATTTAAAACCTTTAAAGATCGCAAAATAGTTAGAAAATCAGCCAAAGAGTTAAAGGGAACAAGGAACGGGATAAGTGAACAATACCCGAAAGAAATAAATCACAGACGTAATGTATTATGGCCTTACTTCAAAGAAGCTAAACATCAACGAAAAGAGGTGTACCTCAAACGAGACAAACTTTTTATAGATGGTACCGAGTTCATAATCCCAGACGACGAAGACGAGCACCCGACAAATAGAAAACGCTCTACAAAACAGATGTATGAACAGCAAGGGACCAAACCTAAGTATCCCTAAAGAAGACCCCAGGATGGACATTCTCGACCAGGTCATAAATAGGTGAACCATGGAGGATCAGCGTAGTAAACGTGACTACTCTAGCGGAACTGACGACCTCTCGTGCAATGAAAAAGCTCATACTGTACATAATCAAAGTACTGAAGTACTGAACATCGGATGACCGCAAGTTCTTGTGGATGGTCAAAAGCACTTGTCACAGAAAAAAATCACATCTCTATACCTGAAACTGAGAATAATGTACAGAGATATATTTTTTTCTGAGACAAGTTCGTGCGTGGATGATGAATAAATGACAGGAAATTCAACCTCACCGTAATAACTATTATATTGTAGTGATACAAATCAGTATACACTGGTTTGTTGTTATATATTATATTAATATAACAGTTACATATATATATAATTTTAATCCATTTGTATATCATTCTATTATACTATTCTAATAATAGTGCAGTGCAAGTGCATGGTGGACACTCTTCTGTAAAAATTCGATTTTTCTAAAAGATTGGATATGAGTAGGCATTCATATTTTCCCGCAAAAACAATTACAGAGTTACCGGTCCTTGCCGGGATTATCGCAAAACGTTCTTGAGATATTCTTCCGCATGCTTTAACACAATTTTTCGGTACGTGTGCATAGATATTATCAATGATTTTTTACTTATATATATATATAATAAATTAATAATAAGATCTATTTTGCTACATCTTGTGAACCGTTTATTTGGCAATCGCCAATGGCAGTCAGCAGGGTTTAAGAACATCAGTTGTTCGACCTGCTAGTCAAATGCGTTTTGTTAAAATATACTTTTTCACTCATTTGGTCTTTTGGAAAATGTTGTTTGTGCTGTATTTAGACCCCTCTACCAAGACATTTGTTTTGCAAGCACACGTATAAAAATTGCGGTTTTTATCCAATGCAATCATAGGTTTGAACGTCGTTTTCAATTTAGACTTGTTTATATATATATATCTAACGACAAAACATTTTCATATTATTAATTTATGTTCTAAACAAAAATATTTTTATCAGTATTCATTGGAGAGATGTATTTATAACAAAATTTAGTTTAATATCCGCGTATTTATCATGTTTACAGATCGGTTACAAACCCAAAACAAAAGTTACGTATTGGAAATCTATGCGATAGCAATACATCGGAATGCCCTCACGGTCATCGAGATGTAAAAATTACAATAACATTTGTCTTTTATCTTCAAATGTATGTGGTATTAAACAAAAGTTGTTATATCCAGAATTTAAATCACTATTAAATGATTATGACATACTATGTTTAACAGAAACTAAATTAAATAACCTCGATGAAATACAATGTAATGACTTCATATTTCATCATAAAAAATCGATAGAAATTTATTAACAAATTAGGTGGTATTGCCCTTGGGTATAAAGGTTATTTGGAAAGTTTATTAAACCAATTACAACCGACTGTCAATTTGTACTTTGGTTCAGTATCGATAAACAAGTTTTTGATTCACCAGAAAATGCTATATTTGGTATTGTTTATGTACCGCCTGAAAATAGTTCATATTCGTCGGTTGAGGCATTTATTGATATTGAAACAGAATTTCATAAATTTAATGAAAATACAAACCTGATTTGTTTAGTTGGAGATTTTAATGCTCGAACGGGAAATTTAAGAGATTATATAGAAAATCATGATACAGAAGATTATTTTGTCAATTATGTTGTAGATATCTCAGAACTTAATGATATTGAAATTTTAGATGAATTTTGTATCCTACTAAATAGAAATAGTTCTGATTTAGTTGTTAATAATTTTGGGAGAAACTTATTGATTTCTGTGAAAATAATAATGTTTTTATATACAATCGCAGAATTGGAAATGACAGATCTGGGAAATCCACCAGCAAAAACTTGAGTGTTGTAGATTATGCTTTAAACACGGCTTATGTATTGAAATTTGTAGAAAATTTTGAAATACTAGAATTCAGCAAATTGTACTCAGATATTCATTCACCACTTTCACTATTTTTAGGAGAGATTAGGCCTGAATTTACACATTAAAATGAATGTGATAGAAACATTCCAGTTAGAATTAAACCATGGAAATTTGAGAGATCATTAGATTTTAAAAATAATATTGATGTATCTAGAGTTCAAGCAGTTCTGGAAAATTTAGACATTTTGAATACAAATACGACGGATGTTAATAAAGACAACGTGAATCAAGTTGTACAAGAAATTTCTAATATACTTTTAGAATCTGCAAAAAAACTCTCTTGGTTTTACTTGTGGAAAGCTAAATTTTGAAAATGCTAATAAGCAATCAAACAAGTTATGGTTTAATTCTGACTGTTATAAAGCAAGAAAAGAGCTTAGGAAAGCTAAACGACAATATAAACATTATGGTTCAAATTTATTTAAACATAGTTAAAATTTCTGAAATCTATTATAAAAATATTATGGATGAAAATATAATTAAATTTAATCGTGATATGCGTAATAAGATGAAATATATGAGAGTGAAAAATTCAAAAGAATTCTGGAAAATCTTAAATCAAGATAGAAAAAGAGAGAAATCAAGAATTTCTCTGGAAACATTATTCCATTGTTTTTTTTTAAAGATTTGAATAAAAACAAACATGACAAAACAGAAGATTTTGTTATACAAAATAACTTGGATCCAGAAAACTCAAATGAAATTTTAAATGGAAAAATTACTAAAGATGAAATAAAAAAAACGCTACAAAAAACGCTAAAAATAATAAAGCACCAGGAGAAGATAAAATAATTAACGAATATCTTTGTTCTTCTTAAGATAGAATGATAGATATTTATGTTCAATTATTTAACTTAATATTGGATTCAGGAATTTTGCCTGAAGCATGGCTTATAGGTCACATGATACCAGTATACAAAAACAAAAGAGACAAGATGAATCCTAAAAACTATAGACCTATTACATTGTTATCTTGTTTAGGAAAAGTTTTTACATCTATTTCGAATGATAGATTAAATGTTTTATAGAAGAATATAATTTATTACATG